TAGCTGCACTGCAGACTGATTCGGACCGAGAGTCGTCGCTCTGTCTCTCTCGCACCTGTGCGGCACGCTCCACGAGCGCGAGAGAGACAGAGCGACGAAAACGACGACTCAGAATCAGTCTGCCGTAGCTGCACATCGCATTGCATCGCGTCGTCGTGTCGTCTGCTGCGTGGATGGCGTACTAAAGGTTGACTCATTTTCACTCTGGAGGACGAGGGGAAAAGTTTTTAGAGGCTGGGATGGAGTGGCCTCGCGGCTTTGTCGCAAAAAAAAACCTGAAATTAGTGAACAAAAAAGAAAAAAAACAAACGAAATCCTGTAGTTTTATTTACATTTCAAAAGCCTCATGGTGAAGATTCTCTTCATTGTGGTGAAATTTGTCCTTATTGGTACAGGTGACTTTGCATACCATTAAAAACTCATTGCTCCCTCGTAGATATTTTGTTGAAATTCTTTCTTACTGTGTACATAGGCCACGGTGGAAATCTGTATTACCTGTTCAGCAACTTCCGAGATTAAATTTTCCTCTCGATGATCTGCTGGAAAAGCCAAGAGGTGCGAACGCACTGCGGTCAAAGTTGCAAGTAACGCGAGGCGTGGACAATGGGTATCAGGACGCCACTCGATGGAATCAATTATCGTGACTGATAGAGTGCGCCACACGCTGTGGCGGGAGGGAGAGAGGGAGTACACAGGAGAAAGTGAGTGGATAATCGTTGGGAAGGACGCCGACTTGTGACTTGAGGGGGCGGGCGGGGGCTCGCTCAAGTTAGATCATTTATGGCTTGTTTTGGGATGGAAGCGTTTCGGATGGCCTTTCCCCCACTGGTGCGGTCATCTAGGTTACGAGCGACACACCCAGAAAATCGTTTCATTCATTCAACAAAGTTTGGATGACACCCCTACCTAAGCCTGTAAAAAGATAAATTTTATAAAAAAATTAAAATAACCGCACCACGCTACACTGAAAATCCAAGAGTGTACTCAGTTCACACCTGCGTGCTCTACGTATGTACTCAGAACACATCCAAGTGCTCGGTACACTCTTAATTTTCAGTGTGCTTACGGACGCCCCCGGAGAGTGGACGCGCCTCGCCGCGAGTCTCCTCGCGCTCTTAAGGTGAAACAATGATAATAAAAGCCGGCCTCGCGTAGACGGACGGCCAGCGAGACGGGCAGCACACTGCGAGTGCAAGTCGCGGGGTCATCGCTGATTACCCTCTCGTTCAATTTCCTCGTTCTCCCCGTGTGCCTGCACTGTGTGCTCCGGTCCGGCCAGCCGACCGCGACCGCGGCGACTTAGCGGCCGACCGCGCTGCCGGCCGAGCGTGCGGTAGCGTGGCGTAGCAGGCGTACATGCGGCACACTGGGAGTCGTTCTCTGTCTCCCTCGCACTCGTGGGGCGCCCCTCGCAGGTGCGAGAGAGACAGAGCGACCCGCTCGGAATCAATCTGCAGACGAGCTTGTTACGGTGTAGTAGAAGGGTGGTGTGGCCTTTTCGCTGCTGCTCTCATCGCCGGTTGGTGATGTCAGCGCTGCCAATGCGGCGGCAGTTTACCTGTTTTCTTGTTTTGGGGGCCTTTGGGGCCTGTGGGGCCTTTCGGGTGTGCCGGTCAAGGCCGCGTCGTGCTCCGGGGCGGGCCAAGGGGCGGGCGGGCGCGACGTCTTCGGGACGGACGGATGACATTCGACGAGATAAAGAAGGAGATTAGCTCCTTCTCCCTCCGTTCCATTGACAGTGCCGATGGCGGCTATAATGGCCCTGGGGGAGTTGAGGCGCCGCGGGGGAATCTGAGAGAAAAAGGAGGAAAAAAGAAACGGGTAGTTTGTTGGGCCTGCTTTGTGGTTTGCTTCCTGCTGCGCCCCGCCCCGCCCCGCCGCTTCCGCTGCCTGCTTGCTACTTGTTGTGCTCGCGTGCCCCTTAATGTCCTTTCACTTTCCGGAGTACCAATTATTGAATCTAGGCATCCAGGCGGCAAGAATCCGACTCGCGATCCTGAAGGAAAGAAAAACAAAAGCCACCCTCTCAACATTTTTCCCGCCACTGCGTTTCCGATTCCGCAAGCTAGGCGCGTAATTTTTTTTTGTAACTTTTTGTTGAAATTTCGAATCCCAGTGATCTCACAACAAAACGCATAATATTTTAATTTTTTTTAAACTTTCTGTTCAATTTTTTTAGTTCCAATTTTTAGCGCGTAAATTTTAAATTTTTTAAAACTTTTGGTTGATTTTTTAAAGTACCAGAGGTCCCTTAACTAGTCGCGTAAATTATTTTTTTTGTAACTTTTGGTGGAAATTATTTTTGTACGTGTACGGCGCCTACAAGCTGCGGCCCCCTGCCGCCCCCGGCGCTCTTTGGTTACCTGCGCGAGGCGCCGAACGGAACTGGCTCGCCTGCCCGGCTTGCCTCACACTTGGGTAATTTGCCCCCATATTCATAATCGCGCTTGCTGTGCTGCGGGGTGCCGCCCGGCCCCGCCCTCCGGATGGCTCCGCGCCGCACCGTGCAGTGTGTGAAGCTGCAGGTTGATTCCGAGGGTCGTTTCGGTCGCTCCGTCTCTCTCACCCACAGGGCACGTCCCATGAGTGCGAGAGAGACGGGGCGAAGAAAACGGCTCTCAGTCTGCTGGAGAGTGTGGTGGGGGACGATGGTACCGGATAATCCAGTGCGGGTACACGCGGTGTCGCTCGCGGCGGGGCTGGCGGGGCTGGCGGGGCCCCAGAGGTCCGGCCCAGTTGACCTTGCGAGATGGCCCCTGCCCGGCGCGGCCCGGCGCGCTTCGTCTATGGAGCGAACGTGAAAGTGTTATAGGGAAGAAAGCTCATGGGCCGGCGTGGCCCTCCCGGCAAGGCGGCCCGTGGGGGTTATGGTGGTGCGAGCAGTGCAGTGCCGCGGCAGACCGATTCCGAGAGGCGTCGCTCCGTCTCTCTCGCTCCTACGCGGGGCGCCCCATGAGCGCGAGAGAGACAGAGCGACGACTCTCGGAATCGGTGTGCCCCTGCAGTGCCACGGCGTAGGGTCCTAAATAAATTGCGTCGGGGAAAGGGAGGACACGGCGGCCACGAGGAAGACGATGCCGTCGATGTGCGTGCCGGGCGCAGCGCGCAGCAGCCATTGTTTAGAAATGTCGCCGGAAAGAGCACCGGCTGCGTCCAGGCGGTCCAGGCCGTCCAGGCGGTGAATGATGCTTTTAGGCAGCCACCCGGCTGGCTGGTACTGTTGTACAGTGTGCACGCGCAGACGCACCGCGCACTCTCACTCTCCGTCGTTTTGTCGGTGAACCGTTCATTTTTTGGGAACAGTACCCCATTGCTGCACCCGAACCTCGAATTGGCCTGTGTGAATGACGAAATGATCGGTGCGAGTCTGAGAGTGTGGTGGCTGCCTTTTCGAATTTATTATCTGAATCCGAGTGCGGACAGGTTCCGCTGTTGATTTGCATGTAAATTTGTGTTCGCACACCTTGTAAGGTGGCGCAGTAAACGGAGGCTGGATGACGTTTTGCGCGCTTTCGTGAGTCTGACGTCATTTTGTTGAACTCGAGTGATTGGACTCGGACTAACCGAACCTCTGGTTCGAGACCGCCGTGCCCTGACGTGCCGACGGCCAGGTGCTGGTGGTCCATGCCTCCATGCCCCACTCCGCGGTGCACCGAACGAACAGCCAGCCGCCCTGCGGACTGATTCCGAGAGTCGCCCTGTCTCTCTCGCACTCGTGGGGCGTCCCTCACAGGTGCGAGAGGGACAGAGCGACGAAACCGACTCTCGGAATCGGTCTGCCGGCCGCGCTGCGCTGGGCCCCACAATGGGAATTGCCTTTTCATGCTGCGCTATTAAAACGTGTGACACATCCACATACGCACGGCCCATGGCACGGCCCACGGCACGGCCCGCTCGCCGTTAGCTTGGGGGGCTTTCACTGCGGAAACGGACCACTTCCAGACTCAGACTGATTCCGAGATTCGTCGCTCTGTCTCTCTCGCGCTCATTGGGCGCCCCGTGAAGGCGCGAGAGAGACAGAGCGACGAAAGCGACTCGGAATCGGTCTGCAGGCGCTAGCAGTGCTCTGGGCGATGAATATCCCGCGGCCGTGATTGGTTGGCTGGAGCCGCTGGCAGCCGCTGCAGACTGTCTTCGTCGCTCTGTCTCTCTCGCACCCACACGGGACGCGAGTGCGAGAGAGACAGAGCGACGAAAACGACTCTCGGAATCAGTCTGCTGGCGACGCTTGCCGCGCTTGGCCGCGGCGCGCGCGGGGTTTTTGAATTTGGCGGGGTTTCTGTCTGGGTTTGTGTGTCACGGCGATGTGGTGCCGGGTGCCTTCCTCCGGGTTGTTGGCACGCCGGGCACCCGCTAGCCTTGCCGCCTTGGCTTGGCGTGGCGGTCGCACGGCGGCGGGTTATTTTCGCACGCGCTGCCGCCTTTGGCCGTCGCCGTCGCCTTCCTCCAACAAGTCCAGCAAATCAGCAAACCGGACGGCGCGGGGCGGCAAGGCGACAAGGCCACGCCGAATATAATCGAATGAGAGGAGTGTTTCGTAACTTTTGGCAGAACCGTCGGCTAAGCCATGCCCTCGGCCACGCCGCCATGGGCTATAGACTGATTCCGAGAGTCATGTTCGTCGCTCTGTCCCGCTCGCACTCGTGGGGCGTCCCGTGGAGGTGCGAGGGAGACAGCGCGACGAAAACGACTCTCAGTGTGCCGGCTCGTCGCAATCGAAGTGGCTGCGCTGAGCGCGTTGCCGTGGCGTTGCCGTGGCGGCGCCGGCCGTGCGGGCGTTCATGTCGGATGCAATCTATGGAAATGGAGAGCGGCGGTAGTGTTCTCATGTCTATAGGGATTTTCGCAGCTTTCTCCTCTTGTAAAAATCATGGCTATGGCGGCGCGAGGCGCGACGGGTTGTTGGCACGTGGGGTCCACGAACACACTAGGTGCAAAATGACGAAGGAAAAACAACAACATAAACTAAAGTAACGTTTGTTGTTTTTGTTGTGTTGCAGGTCGAGGATGCTGCCGGCGTCCTTGTGGTGGCTGGAGGAGTCCGGCCTGGCGCACTGGGGCGGCCTGGACATGACCGCCCTGCGCATGGACCAGGCCTACGTGCGCGTGCACAACGTGGAGGAGGAGGACCCCCTGTGGCTCTACTCGCTGTCCGAGGACTGCCACGAGGTAGGTGGGGGCTGATGTGGGAGGTGATGTGGGAGGTGATGTGGGAGGTGACGTGGGCACCCGCCTTTGGTAATGAGCACACCGATTTCAATGAATTGATGTAATCGATTTAATTAATAAACCCAAAATGTTGAAAGTCTTTTTTTTTTTCATTTTTTTTGGAACTAATCGTCTTGTATGTACTTTGTTGGCAGTGCCCTTACCGACGCACGGCTGACGTTTCCGGTGAGGGCCCCCACATCCTGAAGGTGAACACTGCCAGGGGCGCTACCTGGAGGTTGTACACGAACGGCGAGAATGACACGGTGGCGCGGGAGGACACCAGGTAAACAAGCACGTAGCCCTGCCTAGCGTAGCCTGGCGTAGCACAGCGTAGCCCACGGCGGAGTACAGTCCGTAATTCAGTACAGTCACCTCAATGACTGCAGCCACTCACTCGGCTTGGATCACCGGGCCGTAGCAAAAAGACAGGCTGCTCGGGAAAGCGGGGCGCGTTTTTTGTTGTTGTTGTTGGGACGTGCTGAATGCCCTGCACGTGCTGCTGCAGGTGGGCGTCCTGCGAGGTGCCGGCCCGCCTGGGCGAGTTCGGCGTCTACGACCTGCACGTCAACGGCACCGACTGCATGCTGCACACGGACAGGGAGCCCGCCAACGTGCTGTTCCGTGAGTATGCGTCTCTCTCGCTCCCCTGCGCAGTGGGCCAGAAGACCGGTGGAGGCGGCCAAGAATTCAAGACGTGATTTGAGCCCCAGAGTCGCCAAATGAGACCCGAACCGAACGTGTGACCCCACCAATGGATTGCTCTTCGAACGAGGAATCCATTGGTGGGGTCACACGATCGGATCGAGTTCTGCTCAGCGACTCTGGAGCTCAAGCCGCCTCCACCGGTCTTCCGGCCCAGCGTGCGCGCCTGACCGTGGTCCTCCGCAGCCCTGGCCGGCGTGGCGGTGGTGCTGCTGGCGCTGGCGGTGCTCCACGGCGCCGTGTCCCTGGTGGCGTCGTGCTTCGGCCGCCGCCAGCGTCGCCGCCGCGAGGCCAAGAGGACGGCGTCGTCCGGCGTGGCGGCGGGCGCGCGCGCCGAGGACGACCGCCGCCTGCAGCACGACGGCTACAAGGTGCACCTGAACGGCAACGGGCGCAAGCTGCTGGACGCGGACACGCCGTCCGCGTCGCCGTCGCCGTCCTCCTCCATCGCGACGACGCCCGCCGTGCCCACGCCCGCCCGCAGGAGGGTGCGCTCCGTGGACGTCGTCAGAGGGTGAGGAGCCAATTGGTTTAAATTGGATAAGAAAAGTAGCCTCGAGTGTGATTTTATGATGGGCCGGTCAATAGCGTTTCGTGTAGGCGCTGTGGAGCGTCCTGTTGACTGTGCACCACTTACCATGTGCCTCCACTGGCTAGAGAAGCCTCTCCGCGTGTGGCTGTTCTTGCCGCTAAAGCGTGCTCGCCACACCACTGTAATGGTGCCCCTTGCCCCGCAGCATCAGCATCGTGCTCATGATGTTCGTGAACCACGGCGCCGGCGGCTACTGGTTCCTGAGCCACGCCACCTGGGACGGCCTCTACGTCGGCGACCTCGTGTTCCCCTGGTTCCTCTGGATCATGGGCGTGTGCATCCCCCTGTCCATCCGCCCCCAGCTCGCCAAGGGCGCCAGCCGGTGCCGCCTGCTGCTCTCCGTCCTCAGGGTGAGTAGCCTGCACCGGCCTTCTGGCCCACAATGCAATGCCAATTTAGAGTTTTCTCGGCGTAAATTCAAATGCTCCACCGAGTGTCGATTTGCTTGCCTTCCTCCTTGACCCGCGTGGCCTTGACCGCTTCCTTCCGCGTTGCAGCGCTCCGTGGTGCTGTTCGCGCTGGGCGTGGCGGTGACGTCGCTGTCGGGCTCCAGGGTGGAGGCGCTGCGCGTCATGGGCGTGCTGCAGCGCCTGGGCGTCTCGTACTTGGTGGCGGCGTCGCTGGCCGTGCTCATGACCCCCCGCCGCTGGGGCGCCGCGGCCGTGGACATGGACAAGGCGCGCGGCCGGTCGCCCGGCGTGTTCGCCGACGTCCTGGTGCTGCTGCCGCAGTGGGTCGTGGTGCTGGCGCTCGCCGCCGCCCACGTGGTGGCCTTCTTCCTGCTGGACGTGCCCGACTGCCCGCGCGGCTACATGGGCCCCGGCGGCGTGCACATGGACGGCGCCTTCGCCAACTGCACGGGCGGCGCCGCCGGCTACGTGGACAAGCTGGTCCTGGGCCAGGAGCACCTGTACCCCACGCCCGGCTCGCACGCCGTCTACGGGTCCGGCCCCTTCGACCCCGAGGGACTGCTCGGTGAGTCCTGGCGGACGAGACGACGTTCTGGAGCCGCGCTGCAGACTCATTCCGACTGTCTCTCTCGCACCCACAAGGAACCCTCCGTGAGTGTGAGAGAGACAGAGCGACTTAAACCAAAAAAGACTCTGGGAATCCGCCCCCTGGCGATACTCCGCGCGCACGGATACCTCATGCCGCGTCGGTGGCGATACCCCGCGCGCGCACGGAGTAGCGCCCATTCCGTGCCTCTGGGCAGTGTGGTGGGAGGCACGTCTCAATTCGCTCTTCGAAGCGGATTCAATGATTTCAGATGCATGTTACTCTTAGGAAACTAAAACTTAACTGAATGCTTCAGCTAGGCGTGAGCGGATTACGTTTGAAAGGGGTGATATTATGCTTTAGTTTTAGCAGTGCACCGCCACGTTTGCGTGACTCGCGTCTGCTTCCAGGCTGCCTGACCAGCGTCCTGCAGGTGTTCCTCGGCGTGCAGGCCGGCAGCGCCCTCGTCACCTTCCCGTCGTGGAGGTCCAGGGTGGTGCGCTGGTTCGCCTGGGCCGTGGTGCTGGCCGTGGCGGGCATCTGTGGCTGGTACTTCGGCGGCATCCCCATCAACAAGAGCCTCTGGTGAGTAACACTTTCGCGGGCTCAGCCACTACCCTCTAAGCTTGAAATGGACACTTTCACCTGAGCGCCGAGGGAAGAAGATTCAAAAACCCGGAAACAGTTCCTAGAAGTCGCAAATTTTGTAAATAGAATGTGTTTATTTGGGTTCTAAAAATCTAATAACTAAACAAGACGTTTTAAACCCGTCAGAAACTCTATGGGATGAATTTAAGAACTGGTTCCGGTGATTCTTATTCCTCTTCTTGTGTGCTAGGTGTTAACATGTCTCATTTCATGGTCGAATTTTGACACGTTTGGATATTGACTGTGCTGCAGGACTGTCCCCTTCGTGCTGCTGACGTCGAGCCTGGCCCTCATCCTGCTGTGCGTGTGCTACCTGCTGGTGGACGTCTGGCGGTGCTGGACCGGGTCCCCGTTCCTCTACCCTGGTGAGTGCCAACTCGTTTTTATGTCGAGTTTTACCGTCGCGAGGGAATTGGTTTGGTGACGTGATGCTGTTGTTTCTGTCGCCAGGCATGAACGCGCTCGTTATGTACATCGGCCACCAGCTCTGCTACCAGCTGTTCCCCTTCCACTGGCAGCTCGGCCCCATGAACACGCACCTCATGGTGCTGCTGGAGAACGTGTGGGGCGTGCTGCTGTGGATCCTCGTGGCCGTCTTGATGTACCGGCGCAAGGTGTTTGTGTCCGTGTGAAATACCATTTGACTTTGTTAGTGTGCGTGTGTGCGTTTGACTGCGTGTGCGAATGAGAATCAAGGCGGTTTGAGCGAGTGGGAGTGTGAATGTACGTGGTGTACTGGTGATCCTTTTTTTGCTCATTGTTCTAAAAAAGAAAGTAGCAACTTGTGGTGTTATGTTTTTCGTGTCATTTTTGTCGCCGTTAGATCATTATTACATGTACGAATTATTTTGCTCAGGAGCAAGTTTATGTTAATTTTTATCTTGCCGTGCTTTGTATGTTGGCAACAGCGGCGGTGGAATATAGATTTTTTTTTGTCGTTTTTGTGGGGCGTCTTAAGGTGCTAAGCATCCTGTAACAGTAGTACCTACTATTATAGTTTGCAAATGTATGATATTGTCTAGTATTAAGGGTTCCTTGGCATGTATGACGTGTGTAGGAATTTGTAGCATGTTGTTTTTTTCGGCTCAGTGGAGTCGTCGAGCCTGCGGAGGCAGTTTTTACATCCCCCTGACTGAGTTTGATAAGATGTTAGTAATAATTATGTTCTTAGTGCCATGACATCCTTTGAGAATTTGATGCCGTGAGTAGCATTAACTTTATTTGTTGTTGAATAAAAAGTAGTTCTAATGGAAATGCATTTTCTTTCTTCTCATCCTGGTGATGGAGTGCGTGAATGAATATCACCACTCGCTCGAAATCCCCCGTACTACCTGGCAAAATTAACATTTCCTCGGGAAGCACACATTAATAACATTTTCTTCAAAATTGGGCGTTGCTCCCCACCCGAAGTGAAGGAAATAGGCCGTTCAAAGGTAGCCAAGTTGTTAGAAGCCGCCCACGAGCGGCTCAGTAGTGGAGCACAATCCACCTTGTTTAACGGGAGGGGCCTGCATGTCGCTCTAGAGTATGGGGGGGGGGGGGTAACAGTGCTCCCACGAGCATCGCCTCGCTACGTCACGGCCAAGTTTGGAGCGGACTGGTTTCATGGTTCGCCTGACTTGGTTGTCCCTCCGGGTCCTCTGGGACGGCCCTGCCCTGCCGCAGCCCTGCCGCGGCCCCACCACCCCGCTGCCAAGTCCTGCAGGACGTACGACGCAAGTCTGGCAAGTCCGACTTACGACTACGACTATTCGCGGCACAAGCTCCGATTCGGTGGCGGGGCCCCTGTGAGGGCGAGGGAGGGGGAGGGGGGACTTTGCCAACTCTGCGTTTTCTTGCAGGGCTCGTTCAATTCAAGCTCTCGGAAGTGCCATGTGCCCGGCTGGCTGTCCGTGGCCGCCTGTGCTGGCGGGCCTGGTCTGCCTGTGCCCTGGACATGGAGCCTCGCGACTCTCCCCGGGCCGCCTGAAGGGTAGGCTCCGGACGCAGTGCTGCCCGATGGGCTGCCTAGCTCCGGGCGCTCGCTCGCGCGCGGGCTGCCTACCCTCGAGGCGTTTGCGGCCGTGTGGGCTGCCTACCCTCCGGGCGCTTGCCGCCAGGTCCCATTTGACCCACCTCCGCCTTGTCTGTGTTCTTGCCGCGTTGACGCCTTCGTGGGCGTGTTCTTTGCGGTACATTTGACGGCCTGGTGCCGCAAGGTTTGAGCCCTGTGAGGAGACGCGTTAATTTCGCCGTTCTGGAATGTGTATTGATGGTTTTGGGCTCTGCCCCATTCGACGAACTGATCAAGGAAACTCGTCTGAACATAGAAGACATTTATTTTTTCTTCAATCTCTTTAGATGATAATAAATACAAAATAATAATAATAATAATAATAATAATAATAATAATAATAATAATAATAATAATAATAATAATAATAATAATATACGAAGTCGATTGCTACATGGTGAATGCTGAGAAGAGGAGCGGATCTGCCCTCCTAGAAACATTTACAATAGTCGCAGTGGAAACCCAACTTCGGAGCAGCGCGTCATCTTTGACGTAGAGTAAAAAGGGGCAGTTGTGATAGAAGCAGTTTAAGTACAAATAGCCTCGTCTAAACCAATCGAATCACCGATATAAATAAGGAAATTACTAATAACGTTGTCCTGCCTCCACACTTTGGGTTTCCATAGAGACTGAAAAGGCCTTGTATACAGTGGTCATCACTCGGTGTCACATTACTGGTTTTAACTGTAGATGGATGTCAATTCACTAATGATGCACCTGAGTAGCAAAGGTACGATCTTAAGGTTTCGTTTCGCAGCTCAGTTCGCGTTGATACGTGCGTGTGCTACTGAGATGCTCACGATCAGTTAGTATTTTAATTCGTTGGAGTTTTTGTCTTTGTTGTATTTCCGTCTGTATGGTACCGGCCTGACTAGGGTGGAGAGCTCTTGCTCGCCATTGGACGAAAAAGTAACATTGCACTCTGGTAGGTTTGGGGGCAAAACAAATTCGACTGTTGACGTAGACAGTAACTGTCAAATTTCACCGAAATTTATTTTGAAGCCGTGTAAGATACCGTAATTAAGAAAATTTATGTTGAATAGTTTATAAGAATTCATGTTGAACTTTTACGTCACTTTATACTGCAAAGTGAAATTGTTTTGCCCTCACGGTTAGGTCCCAGCCGGAAATGCCCGAACGGTAAAACGGACTAAGCTTTGTAGCGCAATTTGACTGCATACGGTCTCGGTGCTCATGTTCCGGCTGGGACAAAGTTAGAATCGTCTGACTTGAGCCGCTGCGTCTCGTCGTTGTGACGAGAGGATTTTGTGGCAGTAGGGTTAAAGCACAAAACATAAAAATAAATTAGAATTTTATAAAAAAACGTAAAAAAAGCACAAAAGCATTATTTGAGCGTTATGTACTACGAGAGGAAATATGTCACGCGTTGGCCAACTTCCAAATTCGGTTCAACTGAATGGAGCTGGTTATTTTTTAAAACCTAATACATCAACAAATGTTTCACTTCACACTGTTGAAAAAAATTATTGCAATCCTTAACATGAAAAAACATAATCTAGAGAAAGCTTGTTCGGTGCGTAGCTGTAGAACCGCAGGCGTGCGAGGGACTGTACAAGTGCGTAGTGCACAAGTTTAGACGGAGTAAAAGAAAATCTTTGGTTCTTCTATTAAGAAACAATCCTACAATAACAATAAACCTTACACCTACTGAGATAATGTCTAAAATGAAGAGGAGCAGGCTCTGCGCTGCACAGCAAGTTAAAAATAAATGCTGCACCAAAGCCAGCACTCCTTCATGTCAAAGCTCGCCGCAGACAAACTCTTTTAAACAAATAGACACACTTTAAAAATTTACAATATCATCTCGATTCTCGTTTGTACAGATGACGAAATAGTAGCCATATTTATAGTAATAATATAATATCATTAATAACCATTAAAATTATAAAGATAATATCCTATACACGTTGTTCCACTGTAGTCACGGGGATAAACATTCTCTTTTTTTCACTTTATACAAAACAGTCTTTAATTTTAAACAGCGGCAGGGGAACGTTTGAGTGTTCCGTTTTTTGGTGTGGAGCGCTCGGGTTTCTATATCACAAGGCGAGCGCGGAGTCCTTGCCGCCTCTTGCTTTGCACTTTCTTTGGTTTCGTAGCGCAGCGTCGCGCGTCACGTCAGGCGCACGCCAAGCGCGCGCGCACGCTCCTCGCAACGATGAGATCTTTGGCCGTCTTGGCGTGGAGCAGGCCGCCGGACCGCCGGGAGCCCCGCCCGGCCCGCGCGGGAGGACGTCCAGGACCCCTCCAGGACCTTCCAGGACCTTCCAGGATCGCGAGGACGCTGTCCCACGCAGGCCGCGCGTCGTCGTCGCCGTCCCCGGGACTTGGCCGTCGACCCTCGTTGTTGATATGTCTAGAGCATCAGGCCGCTGGTGGCCTGGCCCATGGTGGCCTGGCCCAGGGTGGCGTCGGCGGGCGTCGCCGTCGGCGTGGTGTGGAGCAGCGTGGGCTCCTGCTTCAAGCACGCCGACCCGGTGGGCGAGGCCGCCGACGCGCCCGAGTTGGCCCTGGTGGCCGCGAGCGGGGACTTGACCTCCAGCTCGCCGCCCAGCTCGACGCGGCCCCCGGCGGCGCCCTGGGCTTGCTGCACGCCCTGGTTGTTGTAGTAGAACGGCGCACCTGGGGGCAGAGACGCAACGGGTTGAAGCACGCCGTCGCGACTCGCGTAACTGTCACCGCGTTGACCGCAGCGGACTTGAGGGCGTCGCGGCAGACCGACAGTCTCTGTCATTTATTTGGTGTGCCGCCCTGCGAGCGCTTGCCAGTGTGTCAAAGGTTAATACTCACGCCTACTTACTGAGGAGCGAGCCCCCGGCGCCGTACGAGTAGCCGCCGTAGCTGGACGTGTACTGCGAGTAGGGCGACGTGTAGGCGTACTCCCCTCCGACCACCCCGGTCACGCCGCCGCCGCCTGCAAAAAACGAAAACAAAATTATTTTCCGCGCTCGCCGGCTCTTCCGTTTGAGTCTCCGCCATGTTTTTAGCAGATGATAACTGTTCTTTAAAATATACATGGATTGTATAATTGTTATTAAATTTTTTCGTCGGGAACTAAGAAAGTATCATCTGCTTTCATTGACGTTCTTTGAAAGATAAAAAAAATTTCGGGTCTCTCGTTTTTGACACATTTTTCATTTCTTCTTTGTGACATGTGCTTTGTTACCGAAATCAGCAGCGTCCACGGACTAATGTTTACTTTTTCGCTGAATGATTTTACCTGCGTTTCAAAAGAAAATCTAAACTCTGCCTAAACTAATCGATACACAGCCACTAAATCGACTAGGATAAAATAAAAAGGCCAAACAACAACAACTGCGCTCATCAATGGTTAATGCTACAGTTACTTCCTCCTCATGCTCTAGACAGCAAGCAGCAACGAGCCATGCCACTTACCGGCGTACTTACCCGCCGCCACGTAGTGCGTGAAGCTGGGGAGCATGGTGGGGTACAGCGCCGTGGCGGCCGTGGGGGTGCCGGGGGGTGGCGACCCGGGCGCGGGCTGCAGCACGGTGAGCGCGGGGTCCCCGGGCGACAAGGGTGGTGGGGGTTGCTCCTCGGGCACACTGCCGGAAGGCACTCCGGACACGCCCACTCCGTTCACCCCGGACACGGCCCCGGACACGGCGTAGTGGCTGCCTTCTGCGCGCCAACAAACACAAAGCTCGAATCTACATATGGCTGGGCGGCGCGGCGCGGCACGGCGTCGCGTTGAGACTCATGCTGTAATGTGTGGAGTCGGGGCCGCACAGTGGGCCAGAAGACGGCCGAAATTCTAGACGCGTTTTGAGCTATCGATAAATGGGACTCGAACCGAACGTGTGACCCCACCAATGGATTGCTCTCCGAACGAGGAATCCATTGGTGGGGTCACACGTTCGGTTCGAGTCCCATTCAGCGACTCTGGAGCTCTGCACGCGTCTAGGGTTTTGGGCGCCTCCGCCGCGGGACGTACCTGTGTGGTAGGGCGACAGGCCGGGCGCCTCGAGGACTAGGCCGAGGCCGCCAAGCTTCATCTCCTGCATGCTGATGGGCGCCAAGGGCGTGAGCGAACCGCTGGTGGCTACAACAGCATGCACTACACGGTTACCAACAAGCACAGCAAGCCGTTTTCTGTTTCAAAAAACGGGGTTACACTTTCTACACGTTAGATCAGCATTAACAGTCATCCTGTACTTCCATGCATCGCAAGCAATATCGCAGTAAAACAAGGCAACAGGCCGCACTGGTTAAAACGGTACTCATTCTTTTTATATATACAGCGGCGACTAAAGCGAAGACCGCATACAGCACAAATAAATGTAGTAACAAAAATTAAAAACAAATGTTTACGCGAATACTTCGCATGGCAAGCACTAAGTACGAAAGTCCAGGGCTGTCCGTTACGCCGCGCGGCAGTCGGGCCAGGCGAGCCTTACCGAGTGAGGTGGTGGTGTAGGGTGACTGTTGCTGCAGTCCGGGTTGGAGGGAGTCGTAGATGTCCGTGGTCGGCGCCCCGGTGCTGAAGGTGTGCGGGTCGTAGTACGGCGAGCCGCCGTTGGTGGCGCCACCGCCGCCGCCTGCGCCCCCCAACTCCGACAGCAGCTTGTGCTCGTCCTTGAGACTCCACTTGCCCGTCCAAAGCTGCAATGCAAGCCGGACACGCGTTAGAGTGAGCCACAGGTTTCCGAAGCGATAATCATTCGGGCGAGTCGCTTTGAGATAGACGCTGTTTCCCCCAAAACGAAATCATTTCCGCGACTGTACTCACATTTGAATAGAGCGGGTCGCCGTTGTACTGCGTTCTTTGCCGCTTGATGTCGTCCTCGGGGTGGGCGTGGATGTCTCTGTTCTCGTCTGCAACACAGGAGGCACACGTTAAAGGGTTTGGCTGGATCCATTAGGGCCGCCGGACGGGGCCAGGGGCAGGGCTTTAAGGGCTGCAGGGCCGCCAGGGCTGCCGCCCGTTGTCACCCCCGTGTACCGAAAACACACCGGATCGTATGCTTCTGTCGCGGAGGGAAGGGGGACCCTATTGTATTGTCCCCGACTGCAAAATTCTGATTAGATTGTTGAGAATGGGATGGGTGGTCTCTAGGGAGTGTGAGGAAGAGGGGGGACGAGAGAGAGAGGAGAGAGAGAGAGAGAGAGAGAGAGAGAGAGAAGAGAGAGAGGAGCTGAATCGGCATTCGACCCGACCCGTCCAGTGTGCCTTCGGGGTGGGGAGGGGGTGCTGTACGAAATGCAATCGCCGTCCTCGGAGTATTATGTTGATTGTACAACAACAACTACACTAAGTACGGTGCGGATAGAATTAAGGAAAGGGCGCGTACAGTAGCAGCCCGACTGAACGGACGATGACTGCTCTGTCGTCCGTGGCCGTGCGGTTAAAGGCGGCTGCTTCCGAGTTCGCGGGTTCTAAGTTCAAATCCTCTTTTAAGACTATCTTTTCGTTGGCTCGCTTTTAAAGTCCCTTGACTGCTACGTTACAGTTATGTGGGTACGTGTATTTCAACGTTCATTTACGGTACCTGCCATCTTTTTTTTTAATGGTCACAATCTGTGGGCAGATTTTCAAACGCCAAGGGTGGCTCAAATGGTTCTCGGGGGAAACGCTCCGCGAGTGGGACAGGAGGACATCCGCTACCGTCTGCTTTCCCATGGTGTGAAGGCGTGGGTATGGTAGCGCCGAGCGAAGGGCCTAAAACGCAGCGTCACCCGAGCGGGTCACCCTAGAGAGAGAGAGAGAGAGAGAGAGAGAGAGAGAGAGAGCAGACAGAGAGAGACAGACAGACAGACAGACAGACAGACAGACAGAGACAGACACCGAGACGGGAGGTATAGTCGGCCACCGAGAGGCAAGTTACGATGGGGACAATGATGGGGAAAATATGGCCCCCGACTACAATGCAAGAGATCGCTTGTTCCCGTCCCAGCTTGGAGAGGGGTTGACGGTGGCTTTATAGGTGTGAGGGGAGTGTATGTATACACACACACACACTCAGACTCACACACGCACACACACTCGCTGGCATCATGATTCCTGCCTCGCGAGTCGGAAAAACGCTCTCGAATCGAGTGGCTGGCTGGGAGTGGGGGGACGGGCCCGGACGGGGACGCCGCTTCGCCGCTCACTGCTGGCAGCACACCCCTCCGAGCCGGCCGCGCGGTCCAACCCCTGCATGCCGAAACAGCTCCAAGATGGCCTCGGCCGGCATGGATTGGAGAGGCGACGCCGAGAGGCCGAAACAGAGGGAAAATGACTTTTGGCCGGGGTTGGTGACCGTGCCGTGGTGGACCGTGCCAAGCTGACGCGGTCCGACCGAACGCTCTCGAAAGCGACTAATCGAGACTTAGCCGGCCTTCAGTGGGGCTTTACGCAAAGCCCGGCGACAAGGACGAAAAGTCCAAGCAACCCCAGTGCCGCCGGCCGGGCAGGCTGGGGGATCGCAGCCATCCCACAGCGGGCTGGGTCCGCACGGCGCTCTCTCTGTCTCTCTCGCACTCGTGGGGCGCTGCCGGCGTAGCATGGCGGTGCGAGTGAGACGGAGCGACGGCCGGCATCGGGCTGCCGGGCACACTGCCGGGCCGGCGCGCGTCGTCGAGAGCAGACGACGTCGGCGCAGTTTCGTTCCGCAGCCTGACTTGGCAGAATGAGCACCACCCTCTCTCCCTCCCCCTCCCTCCCCTCGGTGCCCCTCCGTCTCTGTCCGGATTGAAGGGAGAGGGAGAAAGTCGGAGCACAACAAGTCACCGCGCAGCCGCGCAGCCACCGCGTCGCGGAAAAGGCGCCAATGAATCGGAGACTTTGGCCCAACCCCACTGCCCCCCCCCCCAAAAAAAAAAGGTGGATGAACCTGGCGGCCTTGGAGCAAAATGCGTCGGAAAGCCGGAAAATGCGGTTGCCCAGGCGAGCGCCCGGCAGGTAGGCAGTGGCTCGGCCGGAACACACCGCAGCATGGCAGGCTTGCGGGCGAGCAGAGCACAGGCGCTGGCCTCACATGGGCCAGAAGACCAGTGGAGGCGGCCAAAACTCTAGACGCGTTTTGAGCTGCAGAGTCGCTAAATGGGACTCGAACCGAACGTGTGACCCCACCAATGGATTCCTCGTGCGGAGAGCAATCCATTTGGTGGGGTCACATGTTCGATTCGAGTCCCATTTAGCGACTCTGCAGCCGAAAACGCGTCTAGAGTTTTGGCCGCCTCCACCGGTCTTCTGGCCCACTGTACGTGGCGCGCGACTCTGCTGAAAATAAATTGCAGTTTTGCGGGGTTTCGAACCCGGGCCGTGGACTCACCGTGGTCGTCGTGGCGTCGCCGCTTGATGCTGTTGCCGTTGGGGTCGGCGTGCGGCGAGGCGTGCGGCGAGGCGTGGGGGATGCCCAGGATGCCGTTGATGGAGTAGGTCGTGGTGCGCTGGTGGTCCGGCAGCGCGGGCAGCGCGGGGTGCGCCGTGTGGCCCAGGGCCGGCGGCGTGTGCGTGATGACGGACACGCTGACGGGCGTGCTGCCCGCCGGCGTGCTGCCCGGGTTGCTGCTCGGGCTGCTGCTGCTGTTGGTGTTGCTGCTGTTGTTGTTGTTGGCGGTGGTGGTGTTGTTGTTGTTGGCCTGCTGCTGCGCGGCCTGCTGCTGGTTGTGGACGTGCTTGGCCTTCTCGGCCGCCTTGTTCCGCACGATCCTGCGAACACGGAGAGACACGGAGACTTAGACGCCGGGCAGAGCGAGGCAGCGCGACGCGGCACGGGACGGGGGAATCGGTTTCCCAGTGGCGGATCCAGACCTTGCCTCAGGTTGTGCCTTTTGCCTGCCTGCAGGAGCAAAGTGCGGCTGCCTTCCAGGCGACTGACTGGGGGGCGACAGACCTTTCACCCCCTCCCCTCCCCCTCCCCTGCCATCTTCTCGCCGACCCACCACGCAACTAGGCGCGGATCCAGATACTGAGGAACGGGCAATGCAACGCTCTTGGCTACTTGCATCGGAGGCAAAGCGGTGCTGTTTGCCTACCTACCAGGCGGCCTACCCAGTTACGCTATGAACGTATTTATTTCGGAACAGACCCGCCATAGACCAAGAAGGTGGTAATGACCCCCTCCCCTCTTCGTACGGGAACAACAGGAAAAGGTGAGGCTGCGCGGAGTGAGGTTATCTGCGCCCTTTGGAAGCAACAGGCCCGATACCTGCACGACGGCGATGCTCTCTGGAGTGTGAAGAATGGCGTGTGCGAGTGAGAGAGAGAGAGAGAGAGAGAGAGAGAGAGAGAGAGAGAGAGAGAGAGAGAGAGAGAGAGCGACTAAGTGGATTCGGCGGGAATGAAGAGGGTGACGTGCCGGCCTGACCACAGGGGCGTTCTCACACCCCGAGGCCGCGTCGCACCGCGTAGCGTGCCGCGTGCGCCCGCTATGACGTCCTGGTGATGAATTGATAACTCGTGCCTCCCCCCTCCCCCCTCCCCCTCCCACGCCCCCGCGCGCACGCGTAGGCCGAATCTGATTTTCATGACGAATTGGGGCGAGTGGCGCTCTGTGGCGCTCTGTGGCGGGGCGGGGCGGGCGGGGCGAGGCGGGGCGGGGAGGAAGCTATATTCTGCTTTAGGGCCTCCGTCCGGTCGGGAAAGGGGAGCGCGCGCCACCACTGTATTCTGCGGTTTACTTGCTTATAGAAAAAAAATTGTCGTTGTGTTGTACAGTACGCGGTGTAGCGAGCGACGACCAATCCCACCCTTGATTGGCGATCCACACACTCGGGCTTCCAGTGGACGGACGGACGGACGGACAAGTCCGATATAATTTCCGTGTCCGGCTAGAGCGGTCGGCACCCTTTCTCCTTCATCCACCCTTCCGACAAGACTCCCACCGAAATCCCGCGCGCGAACGCTACCCTCTTTCTTGTCTCACTCTCCCACCCTTCCTTCGGCCGCGGAGCGCGCTCCAAATCCCGGACCGCGTTTCGGATTGTCGACTTGTACCTGATTGGACACGCTGCGGCGAGGGCCACACACACACGCACGCAAACACACACACACACACACCGCACATTAGTCACTGCCCCCGCGGCGCCCCACGGCCCCGTATTGGCGCGCCGAAAACAATTGCCGCGAAAATAGAAAAACACGTCGCCCACTTATAGTACCGGGATTGCCAATCAGGTGGCATCTCTCCGTCCGGTCCAGCCAGTCACCGTTCGCCTAGCTCGTTACTCGGCCCCCTCGGCCGGCGTTTTGACAGTCAGCGCCGAGAATTGGCCTCGCCCCGCCGGGGCATCGGACCGCCGCGCACTTCAAAATTTCTCGCGGTCAATTTGGCCAGTGCAGTAAACGAAGAAATTTTTGCCAAACATAAAATGAACTAGGTTTGTAAATGTTACGGGCATTCTTGTGGCTTTTTTTTCTAAGGTAAGGTACGAAGAAAAAACCTCTAAATACTCGAAGAAAATCTAAAAAGGTGCCGCCACGACCTGTGACGGGTTTCTTTCCCGCGCGCTCCAGATAATTTTTAACTGTGCCTTTCGAATAATTTTTTTTTTTGGGAAGGGTGTGATGATGAGGAACAAAAAGTTATTCCGTGACCCACATTAGTGCACATTATTCAGACGTCGCGACGTGGCGCGTGCGAGGCTGAGGAGCGATTCGGCGCGCCCTTCACGTTGTTGTTGTTGTTGTTGTTGTTGGTGCGGTGTGGGAGTGAGCCCAGCATCCCCACGATATCAGTGCCGCCCTCCCCCTCCCTCGGGGGCGTAAATGCCACAACAAGCTCTCCATCCCCCTCCCCCTCCCAGTTTACGGCACTCCCAGGACCTTTTTATTTCAACTGCGATCATCCCTTACACCACCTTTTACTAGCCAGAAGCCAGCTCACGCCTATCTATTTTGCCGTTTTTTCCCCTCGTTTCTCTATGCACAAATTGTTTTTTTGTTGTTGTTGCCCGTTTTAGGCACTAGGTAGATAGCCGCCTGGACGGTAGCGGCACATTGCCACTGTAAGTAGGCAAAAATCATGGCCTGGCCCTCTTTCTAAATTTTTGAGCACTCCACGCTGGTTGTTGTTGTTATTATTATTGATGCAAAAAAACACCCCATCTTTGTTTTCATTTTCCGCAACGCACTTTACGCAATGACGCGTCTCCAGTTTCCCTGGTGTGTGTGTGTGTGTGTGTGTGTGTCCGTGTGCGCGCGCGTACCTACCGAAGGGGTAAACAACAATACATCATAAGTGTCGTTTGTTTATGCTGCCCCGCCCCGGCGATCACCAGCGCCATCTACCGGCCGAGGAGACTCCCAATCACGGGGTCATAAATTTGGCCGCGCCAAGCCATCCGCGCGCATAGAGCGCCTAAAATAGTATGACTGCGTGATAGATGCAAAAAGGAGAGGGGGGGGGAGGGGACGAACATGTCTGTCGCCCCACAGCGACACCCTCAGCCAGGCCGCACCCCGGTAGATGCGTTCAAGGGGTGAAAAAGTTGATGTGTGTGTGTGAGGATGCACAGAAGGTGTCGTTTGATTTATGTGTCACTTGGTCCTGATGGTGTCTGCAGCGAGCAGACGCGCTGATGACCATTCGGATCACCGGTCATGATCATCGCATGCATAATCATCATCATCATGATGCATGTTTCTGCTTCGATCATTTTTCTGCCATCATGACTGTGTCATTACCTTGAAAAACATAAGCAAAATAACCAAGTGGCGGGGGAAAAGGGGGGGGGGCGGTCACTGGGTCAAGATGACCCCAATGAAGCGAGCGCGCGAACCCTCCAGCTGGTACTCGATGCAGTCAATGAAGGACCACACACTGGGACCCCCGGGCCGCGTCCGCCGGCACCAGACTGAGAGTCGTTTTCGTCGCTCTGTCTCTCTCGCACTCGTGGGGTGTTCCGTGCGAGTGCGAGAGAGACGGAGCGCCTATCAGTGTGCAGGTAAGAGTGGCTGGCAACACAGTTCGGATGAGAGTCGAATAGCGAGATGGTCCCGACGCACCGCGCACGAGCTGCAGTCTATTCCCCAGTCTATTATATCGGGCTCAGCAGCTGTAGTCGGCCGCGCCGACCGGCCGATTCCGCACGTCTGTCTCTCTCGCACTCGCGGGGCGCGCCGCCACCCCGTCCGCCGTCCCCGGCTTGGCACGACAAAGCTCACCCGGCGACACCCTCCCCTCGCAAAGGTGTGTGTGTCGTTGTTGTCTGGAGCCGTTTTTCTTGAAAAGTCGAGAAGTCAACTCGAGGACTGTGTCACCTGGTGTCCTTCGCCTCCTTCGCCCCGAAGGACGAGGCGACCCGCGAAGTATTCTCTCTCGCTTCCTCCGTTTGCGGAAAATCATTTCCTTCGCGTCGTCGTTTTCTACGGGTGGTTGGGTGCGTAATGAAATCAACCCGGTGTGCCTGAGATAAATTAAGTCGGTGGACCACGGTGTCACGGGAGGAGTCTTAGCTCGCGACAAGGTCAAGCACCAAGAACATTGTCCGCTGGAGCCCAAAATCACGGCCAAGGACACCCTTTCAGTGGACCAGGCACGAACTCAGAAGGGGATGTAGAGGGAGAAACGAGTCCCGAGGCTGGAGTCCCTAGAAGGCAGGCAAACGACACTAGTTTGCCCCTCCAGGTAGCCAAAAAGAAATCCTCTATCCGCGCGCCTGCAGTGGAGTGGACACCCGGACGCCCCCACTGTGAGTGGCACGCGCCGCCGGGACTCCTTCCAGGAAGCGCGTGTCGTCCTTTTGACCGTCCAGGTGTGTGTGTGTGTGTCACAGTGTGCTTGCGCAGTCGCCCCGAAAATCCTCGCGCCGCGTCGCCCTGCATCGCCTTCTGCACAACAAAGCCCCGCTGCACCATCGGACGGCTCGGACCGCAGGGCAGCACCCACCACACAAAAGCATGGGGGCGTCGGGGGGAGGAAATTTCACGAAAAGACTGAGCAGCGAGCGAACTGAGTACCTTCCCGCCAAAAAGAGATTTTAAGTAATGATAAATCGAGTGCTTGATTCGGAGGGCGTGATTTGCCTCCGTGATGAACGACAGGGCCGTGACAGTGAGCACACATCGGCCTTGTTGACACGGCGCAGTGATTGTCCTAACGACGCAGTGGTGGTGGTGGAGCGCGGGAAGAACCGAATCGGGCACTTTTACGCCCTTTTCAGAGTGTAGTGCTCCTGGAGGGACTTCCTGGAAATCGACTCGGGAAAACCAGGCACCGCTTTTTTTTTACCGAATGGTTGGTACACGCTTGGTTTCAAGTGAAGTTGTCCTCCGTCCTGCTCCTCTATGCCCCCAATCGAAACGCATGAAAGTATTTCCTCCCAACGCTAGACGTCGAAGGGTGAAGACGTTTCCTCACCCGAATCGTTGTCCCGTGCTGGAGTGAAGCGTGCAAACGACGCCTCAATTCCACCAGTGTGGTGCCAATGGTCATGATTTTCATTACGGGATGATAACGATCGCAAGCAGTAGCGGCGAGTTAGCCACGCCCAGCCAATCCTCATCAACATCCCCCCCCACTCTCTCTCTCTCTCTCTCTCTCTCTCTCTCTCTCTCTCTCTCTCTCTCTCCGCGCAGACGACCTTTTCTCTAGCACTTCTTTGTTTTTGTCTGCTGCGGAATAGATTACAACCTCGCTGGCGCCGCACGCGGTGCGCTGCTGCCGCTGGATTACAATAATTGTCGTTATGAAATTTGGCGGAACCCTT